GGCCACAGGTACTGTGAGGCCTCTGGGCTACAGGTACTGTGAGGCCCCTGGGCTACAGGTACTGTGAGGCCTCTGGGCTACAGGTATTGTGAGGCCTCTGGGCTACAGGTACTGTGAGGCCTCTGGGCTACAGGTACTGTGAGGCCTCTGGGCCACAGGTACTGTGAGGCCTCTGGGCTACAGGTACTGTGAGGCCCCTGGGCTACAGGTACTGTGAGGCTTCTTGGCTACAGGTACTGTGAGGCCTCTGGGCTACAGGTACTGTGAGGCCTCTGGGCTACAGGTACTGTGAGGCCTCTGGCTACAGGTACTGTGAGGCTTCTTGGCTACAGGTACTGTGAGGCCTCTGGGCTACAGGTACTGTGAGGCCTCTGGGCTACAGGTACTGTGAGGCCTCTGGGCTACAGGTACTGTGAGGCCTCTGGGCCACAGGTACTGTGAGGCCTCTGGGCTACAGGTACTGTGAGGCCCCTGGGCTACAGGTACTGTGAGGCCTCTGGGCTACAGGTACTGTGAGGCCTCTGGGCTACAGGTACTGTGAGGCCTCTGGGCTACAGGTACTGTGAGGCCTCTGGGCCACAGGTACTGTGAGGCCTCTGGGCTACAGGTACTGTGAGGCCCCTGGGCTACAGGTACTGTGAGGCCTCTGGGCTACAGGTACTGTGAGGCCTCTGGGCTACAGGTACTGTGAGGCTCCTGGGCTACAGGTACTGTGAGGCCTCTGGGCTACAGGTACTGTGAGGCCTCTGGGCTACAGGTACTGTGAGGCCTCTGGGCTACAGGTACTGTGAGGCCTCTGGGCTACAGGTACTGTGAGGCCTCTGGGCTACAGGTACTGTGAGGCCTCTGGGCTACAGGTACTGTGAGGCCTCTGGGCTACAGGTACTGTGAGGCCTCTGGGCTACAGGTACTGTGAGGCCTCTGGGCTACAGGTACTGTGAGGCCTCTGGGCTACAGGTACTGTGAGGCCTCTGGGCTACAGGTACTGTGAGGCCCCTGGGCTACAGGTACTGTAAGGCCTCTGAGCTACAGGTACTGTAAGGCCTCTGGGCTACAGGTACTGTGAGGCCTCTGGGCTGCAGGTACTGTGAGGCCTCTGGGGTACAGGTACTGTGAGGCCTCTGGGCTACAGGTACTGTGAGGCCTCTGGGCTACAGGTACTGTGAGGCCTCTGGGGTACAGGTACTGTGAAGCCTCTGGGCTACAGGTACTGTGAGGCCTCTGGGGTACAGGTACTGTGAGGCCTCTGGGCTACAGGTACTGTGAGGCCTCTGGGGTACAGGTACTGTGAGGCCTCTGGGCTACAGGTACTGTGAGGCCTCTGGGGTACAGGTACTGTGAGGCCTCTGGGGTACAGGTACTGTGAGGCCTCTGGGGTACAGGTACTGTGAGGCCTCTGGGGTACAGGTACTGTGAGGCCCCTGGGCTACAGGTACTGTGAGGCCCCTGGGCTACAGGTACTGTGAGGCCTCTGGGCTACAGGTACTGTGAGGCCCCTGGGCTACAGGTACTGTGAGGCCCCTGGGCTACAGGTACTGTGAGGCCCCTGGGGTACAGGTACTGTGAGGCCTCTGGGCTACAGGTACTGTGAGGCCCCTGGGCTACAGGTACTGTGAGGCCTCTGGGCTACAGGTACTGTGAGGCCTCTGGGCTACAGGTACTGTGAGGCCTCTGGGCTACAGGTACTGTGAGAGCCTCTGGGCTACAGGTACTGTGAGGCCTCTGGGCTACAGGTACTGTGAGGCCTCTGGGCTACAGGTACTGTGAGGCCTCTGGGCTACAGGTACTGTGAGGCCTCTGGGCTACAGGTACTGTGAGGCCTCTGGGATACAGGTACTGTGAGGCCTCTGGGCTACAGGTACTGTGAGGCCTCTGGGCTACAGGTACTGTGAGGCCTCTGGGCTACAGGTACTGTGAGGCCTCTGGGCTACAGGTACTGTGAGGCCTCTGGGCTACAGGTACTGTGAGGCCTCTGGGCTACAGGTACTGTGAGGCTCCTGGGCTACAGGTACTGTGAGGCTTCTGGGCTACAGGTACTGTGAGGCCTCTGGGCTACAGGTACTGTGAGGCCTCTGGGCTACAGGTACTGTGAGGCCTCTGGGCTACAGGTACTGTGAGGCCTCTGGGCTACAGGTACTGTGAGGCCTCTGGCTACAGGTACGTGAGGCCTGGCTAAGGTCTGTGGTCCTGGGCTACAGGTACTGTGAGGCTTCTTGGCTACAGGTACTGTGAGGCCTCTGGGCTACAGGTACTGTGAGGCCTCTGGGCTACAGGTACTGTGAGGCCTCTGGCTACAGGTACTGTGAGGCCTCTGGGCTACAGGGACTGTGAGGCCTCTGGGCTACAGGTACTGTGAGGCCCTCTGGGCTACAGGTACTGTGAGGCCTCTGGGCTACAGGTACTCTGAGGCCTCTGGGCTACAGGTACTGTGAGGCCTCTGGGCTACAGGTACTGTGAGGCCTCTGGGCTACAGGTACTGTGAGGCCTCTGGGCTACAGGTACTGTGAGGCCTCTGGGCTACAGGTACTGTGAGGCCTCTGGGCTACAGGTACTGTGAGGCCTCTGGGCTACAGGTACTGTGAGCCTCTGGGCTACAGGTACTGTGAGGCCTCTGGGCTACAGGTACTGTGAGGTCTCTGGGCTACAGGTACTGTGAGGCCTCTGGGCTACAGGTACTGTGAGGCCTCTGGGCTACAGGTACTGTGAGGCCTCTGGGCTACAGGTACTGTGAGGCCTTGGGCTACAGGTACTGTGAGGCCTCTGGGCTACAGGTACTGTGAGGCCTCTGGGCTACAGGTACTGTGAGGCCTCTGGGCTACAGGTACTGTGAGGTCTCTGGGCTACAGGTAGTGTGAGGCCTCTGGGCTACAGGTACTGTGAGGCCTCTGGGCTACAGGTACTGTGAGGCCTCTGGGCAACAGGTACTGTGAGGCCTCTGGGCTACAGGTACTGTGAGGCCTCTGGGCTACAGGTACTGTGAGGTCTCTGGGCTACAGGTACTGTGAGGCCTCTGGGCAACAGGTACTGTGAGGCCTCTGGGCTACAGGTACTGTGAGGTCTCTGGGCTACAGGTACTGTGAGGCCTCTGGGCTACAGGTACTGTGAGGCCTCTGGGCAACAGGTACTGTGAGGCCTCTGGGCTACAGGTACTGTGAGGCCTCTGGGCAACAAGTACTGTGAGGCCTCTGGGCAACAGGTACTGTGAGGCCTCTGGGCAACAGGTACTGTGAGGCCTCTGGGCTACAGGTACTGTGAGGTCTCTGGGCTACAGGTACTGTGAGGCCTCTGGGCAACAGGTACTGTGAGGCCTCTGGGCTACAGGTACTGTGAGGTCCCCTGGGCTACAGGTACTGTGAGGCCTCTGGGCTACAGGTACTGTGAGGCCTCTGGGCAACAGGTACTGTGAGGCCTCTGGGCTACAGGTACTGTGAGGCCTCTGGGCAACAGGTACTGTGAGGCCTCTGGGCAACAGGTACTGTGAGGCCTCTGGGCTACAGGTACTGTGAGGCCTCTGGGCAACAGGTACTGTGAGGCCTCTTGGCTACAGGTACTGTGAGGCCTCTGGGCAACAGGTACTGTGAGGCCTCTGGGCTACAGGTACTGTGAGGCCTCTGGGCTACAGGTACTGTGAGGCCTCTGGGCTACAGGTACTGTGAGGCCTCTGGGCTACAGGTACTGTGAGGTCTCTGGGCTACAGGTACTGTGAGGCCTCTGGGCTACAGGTACTGTGAGGCCTCTGGGCTCCAGGTACTGTGAGGCCCCTGGGCTACAGGTACTGTGAGGCCTCTGGGCTCCAGGTACTGTGAGGCCATCTTTGGCCGGCTACAGGTACTGTGAGGCCTCTGGGCTACAGGTACTGTGAGGCCTCTGGGCAACAGGTACTGTGAGGCCTCTGGGCTACAGGTACTGTGAGGCCTCTGGGCAACAGGTACTGTGAGGCCTCTGGGCAACAGGTACTGTGAGGCCTCTGGGCTACAGGTACTGTGAGGCTCTGGGCAACAGGTACTGTGAGGCCTCTTGGCTAAAAGGTACTGTGAGGCCTCTGGGCAACAGGTACTGTGAGGCCTCTGGGCTACAGGTACTGTGAGGCCTCTGGGCAACAGGTACTGTGAGGCCTCTGGGCACAGGTACTGTGAGGCCTCTGGGCTACAGGTACTGTGAGGCCTCTGGGCTACAGGTACTGTGAGGCCGTCTGGGCTACAGGTACTGTGAGGCCTCTGGGCTACAGGTACTGTGAGGCCTCTGGGCTACAGGTACTGTGAGGCCTCTGGGCTACAGGTACTGTGAGGCCTCTGGGCTACAGGTACTGTGAGGCCTCTGGGCTAC